TTTTTTTTTTTTTTTTTTTTTTTTTTTTTTTTTTTTTTTTTTTTTGAAGTATTGAATATTTTTAATATATTTTTATTTCTTTGATTAAATATTTTGGTTCAAAAAAAATTTTAAATTTTGGTGAAACAAAAAATTTTATTTTTATATATTACTTAAAAAAAAAAAAAAATAAAATAAACCTTTATAAAAAAAAATTAGTATAAATTTTAATATAATTTACTTATTTTTACAATTTAATATTTTAATAAAAATTATATTTTTAAATATAATATATATATATATATTTTTCATCATAAGGTGCAAAAACGTGCAGAATTAAAAAAAAAAAAAATACTACATTTAACGTTTTATTTGTATTCCCTTATTCTTTGTTATTTTCCAATTTTAATCTTAATTTCCTTTTTTTTTTTTTTTAATTTATTTAATTTTATATGAATCTCTTTTTTTTAATTTTTTCTAATTTTTAATTTTTTTACCTTATTATTAATTTTCTTTTTTTTTAATTTTCTTTTTTTTTAATATTCTTTTTTTTACATAGTTATTTAGGCTTAATATTATATCTAAAAAAACTTTAATAATATTTAATATATATAAATCTGTTTACTTATTATATATAAAAAAATTAATACTGATTCAAATTAAAATATAAAAGGATATTTATTTATAATAAAAAAAAAAAAAAAAGAAAAAAAAAAATAATATGAAAGAAAAATATATTCATCTAAAAAAAATATTGAAAAACCCAGATATTAGTTCGAATGAGACTATATCTAGCTATGAAAACATTTTTTGTAATTCTTCATGTTCATCATTGGATGATATATATAAAAATATAAAACAAAATAGTGAAAATGAATTATTAAGTTCTTCATCCTATTTAAACAACTATTATGATTTAAATATCTATAAGACAAAACAAAAAGAAAATATAAAAAATTATGAAAATTTAAACGAAAATGATTTTAATTTTAAAAATATAAAAGGTAAATATAATTATAAATATAAAGATTTTATTAAAAAATATGAGGAAAACAAAGATACAGTAAAAAATAATATTGAAAATAGAACTCACAGTTTGGAAAATTATATAAGAAAAATTGATAACGCTTACTATGAAGAAATAAAAAAAAAAAATAAAAATAAAAATATATATGAAATAAATGAAAATACAAATATTAACTCAAATATATCCTATTTAAATGGATATAAATTTACAGATAATTGCATATTAAAAAATAATTTTTGTGAAAATAATTCATTTCAAAAAAAATTTGTTAAAGAAAATTTAATCCCAGATAAAATAAAATTAAAATATAATGAAATAAATCTATCAGACAATATATTAAAAAATAACTTTAAATGTTTCTGTATTTTTTGTTCTGAAATATCTGAAATTGAAAAAATTAAAAAAATTATGTTTAATAAAATTAAACCATTATGCATAAGTTGCTTTGATATTTTTTTAAATTTAATTCGAATTAATTCAATCATGTGTATTTCTTGTTTTATATCTTATTTACATGATGACAAAAAATCTAAGTGTGTAATTTGTAATAATTTTGATAATATATTTTATAGAAATGATAAAGAAAAATTGGATATTGTTAAAAAAGAGCTGAGAATGTTTATGACATTTCATAAATATGAATTTAGTGAAAATTTAAATTCAGATGCTTTTTTAAATTTTTTTATTAATATGAATTATTGTTTTAAAAATTTATATCTTTATTTCAATATTCATCAAACTTTTGTAATTTCAAAAAATTATGTCTATACAAAATATACTATCCCTTTTTACGACTTGATAAAAAATCTAAATAAAAGTGTAGAAGTTAAAATAAAGTATAACGATATAAATACTACAATAAAAGAAAAAAAAGGTTTTTTAAAAAAAAATAATGACTATTTTCTAGATGAAATGAAAGAAGGTTGTAACTTAATTTCTCAAAATGAAAATGAAATAAATATTAATAACGATTCTTCTGAAAAAATAAATGAAATACAAAAAAAATTTTATTATATAAAAAATGAACAGAACTACAATATTATTTCAAAAAAAAAAGGTAAAAATGACAATTTTTATATAAATGATTCTATATATTCATTTAAAAAAAATAAATATTCAAAAAAACCGAATTTTGTTTATGATAATAATAAAATGGAGGAATATTTTTATTTTAATTTTCATGACAAAAATATAGAAAAAGACGAAATAAAAGATTTAAAAAAAAAAATTGTTAATTGTATTGAAAAGGAAGAAAAAAGAGAAATATATATAGAAGAGATAGAAAACGAAAAATGTGAAAAAGAATATGAAGATGAATTTAATGAAGAACTGTTCAATCAAAAATTACAGCAAAAATATAAAGTGCATGAAGAACATAATTGGGAGAAAGAAATGTATGAATATAAAAAACAACAAAAACGAAAAGAGAAAGAACAAAAAGAACAAGAAGAAAAGTATGAAGAAGAATATAAAAAAAAAAAAAAAGAAGATAATGAAGGTATATTTAAATATGAGAAAGAAGTAAAAGAAGAAAAATATGAAAAAGACTTAGAAGAAGAATATGAAGAAGGGCAAGAATACGAAGATTACTATGAAAAAGAGAAAGAATATGAAGATGAATATGAAAAAAAAGAGGAAGAATGTGAAGATGAATATGAAAAAAAAGAGGAAGAATGTGAAGAAAAAAAAAAAAAATATGAAGAATACGAAAAAGAAGAATATGAAGAGAAAAAAAAAAAAAATATGAAGAATACGAAAAAGAAGAATATGAAGGATATGAAAAAGAAGAATATGAAGAATACGAAAAAGAAAGAGATTATGAAGATGAATATGAAAAAG